TTATATTATATTATATTATATTATATTATATTATATTATAATGTAATATATAAATTATATACAAATATATAAAATTTTTTCATTTTTTATAATTTCACCATTAGAGATCAGGCAACCAAGCATATGTTTTTATTTTTATTTTTGCCTTGGTCCTTCTGTATTCTGGAAGGATTTGCTAAAGTGAGGTATCTTTTAAAAAGGCTTTTTAAAACACATAACCTTAGTCTTTAAAAAGATTGAAAGGTGATGGGATTGTTGCTATGAGCAAATCTTATTGAAATTTATCTTTAAAAATGCTTTGGTATATCTTTGAATTTGTGAAATTCAAAGCATTTAAGCATATTCTGTTCATTTGTGATTTTATATATTTACTATCTGTAGAAGAACAATACTGATTAAAATTGATTTTATTTTATTACTGTGTATTTATCCTTTTACTAGTTTTTTTTTTTAATTTCTCATTATCCTTTGACGTGAGAAAATCAGGTTTAATATTTTTGTACTTTTGACTAAGAAATACTGAAGTAAAGATGTGGGGGAGAAAGATAATGAATGCAGTTTCAAATGTGTTGAGTCTTAAGTACAGTCACACAGAGGTCTCTAAGAGTCATGAGCATAACAAATAGATTTGTTGGTGAAGTGGTCCTTAAAGTCAGAGGGAAGGATGAGCTAGTCCCTGGGAAAGCAGAAAATGAAAAAAAAGAAAGACTGAATCTTAAAATATAGTATAATTTTAAAGATAATAGTTAACATTTTTCTTTAAAGGCAGTTTATTTATACAAACTCTACAGAGAAAAGTAATCAATCATTAATATACAATTAAAAAGTATGAGCCATTTGCCATTAAATCTTGTTTATAAGTCTTTGTGGGTACTACCTGTAACACTTATAATGGGGGAGATGTAAGTTTTTAGTTTTAATTAACACTTTTTTATAATATTTGCTTCTACTTTTTAACTCTGTTTTGCTAATTATAGGTTTTACTGTAAATACAATCTGAATATTTTAAATTTATTTTATCCCACTTTAGCAATACACAATGGAATAATATTCACCCATTGTTGGATTTGGAATCTTTCTAATTTTTCACTCATATAAATAGTGCACCTACTTAAAAGTTTTAAAGATATTAAAACTTTTTTTTCTTTGGAAATATTTACCAAATAGGATTATTAGATCAAAACACATGATAAATTTAGTTTCTCTTGTAAAAATGTTTAATCTTGACAAAAGAAATTAGGCCTCAATACAATATTAACGCTTTTTTTAGGATCACTCAAATAACATTAGGTTGGTGATTTCAATTTATTTTTGAGTTTACACAGTTAATATGTATGGAGAAAAGTAGTATTTCATTCTTAGATTTAAATGCTCTCTACATTGTTTTGTTAAGCCTAACAGGGGGTTTTCTGTTCCTAATACTACAAGTGTTTCCTTGATCAGCCAAAAAATACCAGAAAGTGTGATGAAATATTACTGTTAGTAAAATGTATATTTGCAGAACTACATAAAGCTATTATTGCTAACAAATTTTTTAACTTTGAAGTTGAATATACTTATTTATCTGAATGTAAAAAAAAATCTTTAGATTTATGAGAAAATAATTTTTAAGTTTCTTATAGGCTGGGCCATTAACCAAAGTGACTATATGCAAAGACAGAGAAGGAAAGCCGAAGTCTTTTGGATTTGTCTGCTTTAAACACCCTGAATCAGTGTCTTATGCCATAGCTTTGCTGAATGGAATTCGTTTATATGGAAGACCAATTAATGTACAGTATCGATTTGGTAGGTCTTGCCATCGATGAATCTTCCAAGTGTGTTTTGTTGATGGTGTTGTTCTCAGAGGTGTAAATAGTGTGTGTTCTATATGATGTATAGGGCCCTTGTGGTCTCTGTTAAATTTTCTCAAAATACATGTGGACATTGAAAATGTTGTATGACTAATTAGTATTGCCAACTCTATAGCACTTTTTTCTATATGAAAATTTAAAATGTTCTATCTTAGTCCCAGCCAGAAGGTAGCTACGATACTGCTATTTGCTGTTTTAAATTAAGCAAATCTAAATGAACTGCGGACACACAGCTCTAGCCTTTATACAGCAAGGCTATTTGCTAATCTTCTCGTCAGTGCTAATGTATGGTATCAAATACCTACTATTTGGAAGGTATAGTGAGTGTCTTAGTCATTCTTCTGGGAAAACCATGCTCTACATATTGCCCTGGATCAAAGTCCCTGCAAGAGCAGCTGGCTGAAAGTGGCTGCAGAGTGACCCTCAGTAACTGGAGGAAAGCTTCCTGACATGAATGACCTCAAATGCCTTCTCCTGCATACCCCCCAACAACTGGTTAAATACCAGGGAACACTGTGCTACTGCTCTACCTCTTTCATGCTTTGAGGGACTGATAGAGGCGATGCTTATGCTCATGGTGCAGGGCTTGGGATGCTTATGTTCCCTCCCTCCCCAGATTATTCAAGGATATTGATGTATTCCTTTTTTGTTTTTTATTCCTCTCATTATACTAAAAATGAATAAGAATAAGAAAATAATACCTCATTGCAAAGGAAAAGGGTTTCTCCTTGTGTTTCTTTTATTTATTTTGTTAATGTTTTCTCAAAGCTAATTAGCTGTATAATGCTCTCAAGTACTTTCCGGTTAACTCACAAGGACTGGTAAAATGGGCCACGACATAGTATGTTCTGACACATCCCAGCCAGCTGCTCAGCATCCTGAGGTTGCATCCGCTTTTGCCAGTGCGGGTTGGAGAACTCATGCATTCTACAAAGAATGCAAATAACACAAATGTTTGCCATTGTTAGTCTACAGGCATGTAGAACAATACAACATCAGGGACCTTATGGTCCCATTTCAGTATCATTTTTCTGTACAGCCATTACTTTGGACAAATCTTGGTTGTAATTCATTCATTTGCAGTGATGTAAATAATTTATAAATATTACTTGGGAAATCAAAGATATATTTGGGTATCTTAATTATATGATTAAGGAATTTTAACCAGTGCTAAATCCTTTCAGGTTTCGAGTTTCTGTATGGCTTAATGTTAGAACTCAAAAAAAAAAAAAGTACCATTAAGTAATCAGTTGTTCTATTTCTTCCATAGGGAGCTCTCACTCTTCTGAAGCAGCCAACCAAAGTTTCGAGAGCTGTGTTAAGATAAATTCACACAGCTACAGGTAATTAAAAATATTTTTTTTCAAAAAGGTAAAGCAAATAAATGTGTTCTTATACCAGCAGTAGTTTTTATATATACTGGACTATTGTAAAACCTTACTATTTAGACATAGGATAAAATTAATCAATTCACTTTTTTTCTGAAACCATGAAAAGTGACAAAATATTTTCATTTAAAGTGGGGTTTTAATATTTTCATCAGTAGGTGGGAGAGATCTATGTTTCTAGTGTTCTTTATGGTTTACCTTGTGCCTGTCATAGTTGTTAAATTACTTAAGCATCCAAGGTGTCATTGTGATGATCACAGAGATACCATTATCCATATTTTATATTTGAATAAATTGAAATGCAAACGTTAACTAATTTTTAAGGTCATGAAGATGAAAAAGTGGTAGTGGCTAGTCTTGAAATAAAGCCTTCTGCCATTAAGCCATTCTGTTATTTATTTTACTACTTTTTAGAACTTCCCTATTGTAATATTCCAAATATTCTAAAATTTTGCATTGGCTGATTTTTCGATGCAACGTTAGCCTCTAAGGACATTGTCAGGCAAGCTATCCCAGAGGTCATGGAACAGAAGGACTCTCAAACTGAATTAAGATGTTTGAGTCACACTGTTTATTAAACCAATTTAAAAGACACAGTGAAAAGCAACAGGAAAGATACTGGATAGGTTAGCACACTTAAGCAGTGGGTACCAGTGGGCCGAAGGACCAGCGTACCGCGTTCTGGTGACACTAATATTCATGCACCGTTTTTCGCTCTGCTGCATCAGCCTTCCTTATTGCTAGTGTGCTTCTGAGAACTAGAGTTGAGGTTCAATAAGGATATCCATTCAGATGGAATATTCCCAGAATTTTCCTTCTCAGAGAGGGTCAGGGGCAAATACACCTGGCCACACAAGTAACTTGTTGGTTAGTCTGCTAGATGCCCCCAGGTTTTATCTGAGTTTCTGAGGCAGAGCAAAGATAAGAGAAGCAACATACTTGGGTGACATGATGAGGACATGGTGTTTCTTTCCCTTTTTGTCCATAAGTAACGTTCTTACTTATTCCATCCTATATTCTGTTGAATCTATCTATAGCATGTCTGGCAGGATAGTAACTTATTTCCTATCTATATTTAATATATATTATAAATTCTGCCTTTATCTCCCAAGTGATTTGCTTATTCTATCTCTAACCCAGCTTCATCACTGTTCCATAAACCGCCAGCTTACTTAGGGTCTATTACAAGCATTTCATCCATCGTGTTTGTTTTTGCCTTCTGCAGCAGAACCGAATATTCTCAAGTAAACTAGCTGTAGCCGAAACTCCTGTCCCTCTGAGGCATAAGACAGTGCCTCTTAGGACTGACAATTACACAGGCTTATCTGTAGTAAAACTATTTCATCCCAAATAAAACACAGTGTGCTTCACATCATCTTTCTTCCCAGCATTTCTGTATCAGGGACATTAGAAGTTAAAAAGTAGGTACTGACATCAAATTGCCTGAATTTGAATTCTGCTTTTACCACTGTTTTAATGTTATGACCTTGGACAGGTTATTTCACCACACCATAACCTGTCTTTAAAATGAGGATAAAGGGCACATAGGTGACTCAGTCAGTTAAGCATCCAACTCTTGGTTTCAGGTCAGGTCATGATCTCACAGTTCATGAGTTCGAGCCCCGTGTCGGGCTCTGCACTGACAGTGTGGAACCTACTTGGGATTCTCTCTCTCACTCTCTCTCTGCCCCTCCCCTGCTCATTCTCTCCCTCTCTCTCTCAAAATAAATAAATAAACTTAAAATAAAACAAAGATAATACCTCAAAGATTATTATGAGAATCAAATTTTGTAATAAATGCAATGTATTTAAAATACTGGACACATAGCAAGTATTCAGTGAATACTTTCAGCCAGTGTTACCAAAAAGGAGAGAGTAATTAACTGTGTTGGTAGGGGAAGTGCTATAGACTCCTGAATTGAGCTATATATTTAATATGAGAGTTTCCCCTCTTCTCATGGTAAAATATACCTCTTTTTTCTCAGGAATTAGGAAGGAACAAGTTATTGCTATGATTTGAGCAGAGTAGAAAGACAAGACAAACCTTATAAGATGTTAACATAACTCTTGTATTCTGTACTTACGTTTGACAAACTAACTCATCACAAAATCTAGGGTAGAAAATCAGAAATATAAGTATATTCCATAATACTACACTTCACCGGTAGTAGTACCTTATCTTCTAGTTATTTGTTATATTATAAAGGAAAAATGAGAATAGGTTGTAGTAATGTCCAGAGAAAAGTGGTGTACATGTCAAACCCTTCGTCTTTCACTGGTCTTTCTTGGAAAAGGGTTTTTGTGCTTCTATTGATTGCCTCTCATACCTTCTGTTTTTAATAAATAGTTCCTGGGGTGCCTGGGTGGCTCAGTCGGTTGAGCGTCCGACTTTGGCTCAGGTCACGATCTCACGGTCCGTGAGTTCGAGCCCCGCGTCAGGCTCTGGGCTGATGGCTCAGAGCCTGGAGCCTGCTTCCGATTCTGTGTCTCCCTCTCTCTCTGCCACTCCCCCGTTCATGCTCTGTCTCTCTCTGTCCCAAAAATAAATAAACATTAATAAATAAAAATAAAAAAAAATAAAATAAATAGTTCCTGTATTAGTTTGTTAAAGCTGTCATAACAAAGTACCACAAATAGGTACTTAAACAACAGAAATATTTTGTCTCACAGTTCTGAAGGCTAGGAGCCCAAGATCAAGGTGCCCACAGAGTTAGTTCCTTCTGAGGGCTGTGAGAAAGAGTCTGTTCTGTGTCTCTCCCTTAGCATCTCCTGGTTATTTGGCAATATTTGATACTGCTTAGCTTATAGACCCATCACCTATATCTCTGCCTTCATCTTCATATGGTGTTTTCCCTGTGTGCACCCATCTCTAAATTTCCCCCTTTTATAAAGACACCAGTCCTGGGGCACCCGGGTGGCTCAGTCAGTTAAGCGTCCAACTCTTGATCTCAGCTCAGGTCATGATCTTACAGTTCATGAGCTTGAGCCCCGCATCAGCGTCTGCACATGACAGCATGGAGGCTGCTTGGGATTCTGTCTCTCCTTCTCTCTGCCTCCCCTTCCCCCCAGTCTCTCACTCTCTCTCTCTCAAAAAAAAAAAAATAAATAAACATTAAAAAAAATAAAAATAAAAAAATAAAGACACCAGTCCTATTGGATTAGCGGCTCATGCTACTCTAGTATGACCTCCTCTTGATTATATCTGCAACAATCCTATTTCCAAATAAGGTCGCATTCTGAGGTATAGGGGGTTAGGATTTCAAAATAATAAATTTGGAGGCGACAGTTTAGCTCATAACCCTTCCCAATTTACATGCAATTCTTCTATGTAGACAACTGTGCATACCCAGATACTCACATAGGAAGGATCGTGGTTTTAGAGAATCTGTAATTGCTTTCATGATGGTGCTAATTTCACTATTTCTGCTACTGAAGTCATATCTTCCCTACTCTAGAATTTCATTGCACTTTCCATTTGTTTCTTTACTATCGCTTGTTCTATACACATGTTCTGGTCTTTGCACCTTGTCTCCAAATCAGGCTATTATATTCCCCACCCCCCCCGAAAAATCTTTATCCTTCACATCCTTACTTCCCATACACTTCCTCTTTTATAACTGACAGCTGTCTAATTCCTTCCTTAATGAAATTTACTCTTCCTCTGGTTTTTGCAGTACTGTCACCGCTTATAAATGGGATCTCCGCCTATCCACCTAACTGCTTCCTGTCATTCACCTGTCTTCATTTTTGCCTTTACCTGCTTGTGTTAGTTTTTTTTTGTTGTTGTTGTTTTTTTTTTT